TCTCAGAATCTGTACCGAGTAAATCAAAAGACACAAATCCATAAATAGGAGTTTGTTAAGAACTCAGGATTAAGATCATTCTATATATGACCATCGGTAGACTCAATTAGAATTTCTATACTTAACGGAAATTATTAGAAATTCATATTGTGTCTGTGTCTCTGTTCCACATAATCTTATTATGTGTAATACACTCATTCAATATCTCTCTATATTAACAGTGCGGATAACACCGTTCCATTCGAAATGGGAATGACATGTATTAGTAATGTTTTAATTAAAGATTCTGAACTTTAATTAAATTCATTATGAACATCACTTTTTGATTATTATTCTTAAACATTATCCTCTCGCATATAACACTTATATACAATGTTTAAGGTCACATAAATAATCATGGAATTTTCATTGATATTCATAAAATATTCACAAATATATATACACATAAAATGATGAATAAACTCTTTTATTAAATAAATAATAAATGTCCTATTACATCTCATGCTTCTAGGACACCATTCCCAACACCTTTTTCCTGCAGATCCCTTAACAATGACATTTCTCGCTTCTCTTCGACCGTCTCTTTCTTCGCTCATAACTCCTGTATCGCTATCGCACACCTCCCATGTGCCGCTTTCCTTCTCAACCTCGGCGGCACCCCGTCGTCGCCACTCTCACCGTGGGCTTCATGATCTCCTACATCATCGACTCCCTCAACTTTAAGACTGGTGCCTTCGTCGGAGTCTGGCTTTCTCTCCTCTTCTCCCAGAACGCCTTCTTCTTCTCTTCTCTCTTGTCCTCCTTCAACTCCCTCCCTATCTCCTTCCTCGTTGCCATTTCTGCCGTCGGCTTCTCCGCCGCCTCCTCCTATTACCTCATGGCCTTCAATTGCCTCTTCTACTGGCTCTACTCCATCCCCAGACTTTCCTCCTTCAAGACCAACCACACGCAAGTCAAGTCCCATGGTGGCCAGGCTCCTATAACCATTAGGGCAAAATTCATTAATGGCCACGAAATACATAAGGAACTTGAGAAAGGGACAACTATATGGGCAAAATCGTCAATTTATATTATATTAAAAATTAAATACCTCGACGATTGACACGTCACACTTAACGTTCAAAATTTAACAGAAAAGACAAATAAGGGGAACACATACTAATGACGAATTGATCAAGCGGAAAATTTGCTATTTTTAAACTTTAAGGGGAATTTTTTGTAACACGGCAATAGTTCAAGAGACACAAATGTATTTTGTCCAACTTTTAATCTTAAAATTTAAAGAATATACTTTAAAAAATGATTACATTAAAAAAAATGACCAGTCCACTTTTTTAATCCAAAACTGACTTCTTCAAGCCTAATTCTTCTTTTTATTGAAGAATAGACTTGAAGAAGTATTGAAGGATAGACTTCTTCAAGCCTATTCTTCAATAGATCAATATCTCATTTTATCACTTCTTCATTTTTTTCTTTTTCCCAAATTGCAATTTAGAGAATACTTCAAGCTCACGTTGAGAATTCAACATCGCAATTTGAGAATCCAAATAAAAACAACATTTATCTCGTTTTGAACCTTTTGATTTTTTAATAAAAAAATTTGAATTGTATATGAAAGGTCTGTCTTTTACGCGGGTGTTACACAGAGTGTTAAAATACTTTCTATAACATTGTTGATTAATTGCGTCTTTTCAATGCAGAAATGTAAATTAACCAAGCAGGAAATAATAGTGCAAAAAATAGAAAACACAAGATATGGTATCGCAGTTCAGTGTGCACACCTACATCTGCGGGATCACGTCCATACAATAAATAATCTACTAAAATTAAAAGATTACAAAATACCAAACCGATCTTACACACTCAATAACTTCCTCCTTGATGTTGTCGCCGCCATAGAGTATCCTCTCAGTTTTCACTCGTCTTTGGAAACTTAAGTCTATAATTAATCAAATACTAAAACTCTTCATTTTTCAGTCTTTAATTGCCAACCATACAACCAATTGTTAGAAAACAACTACAACTCTTCAGTCTCTGCCACATGGACGCCACCTTACACCACTAAGCCTTTTATAATGATTCCAGGTCACTAGTAAATTTGAACCGTTCGACTCGACATCCGCATCATGTGAAGTATAAGTTAGTGGGACTATCTTCTTGTCCTGTGGCCGTAGCAAAAGAAGACAGATGGTTGGCAAACATTGTCATGAGCTGTTGATACTGATTCTTGTGGAGGCTCTGGAAGAAAGATTAAGTACCTCCAACATCCTTGTTGTTGTGTTCAGGCAGACTAGACTGATTAGAAACCTAATTGACTAAAATAGTCTAGTTCTTGGACTGATATTTTGGTCTCTACTTGAAGTCAGGTGGATATCCATATAACTTGTAGCACTTTTCAACTGTGACCATGATAGTTACAATGAGTGCAAAAAGGTCTGTCTTTCTTCTGGCCTTTAACATTTCCAGGATTATGAAGATCAATGGGATTCCCATATCCTTTTGAGTTTTCATTTTTAAGAGCAAACGCCAATGTGTTAGCAGAATCAGTGCCTTGATGTAGCTGACCAACTGTTCTCTGGCATTCTTCTTGAGTAATCAAGGAGAAAACCTTGTTGATAGGTGGAAGAGGGTCCAACAAAAGCAATTGACCTCTAACTTGAGCAAAAGAATCATTCAGTCCTATGAGGAATGACATAATGTATTCCATCTGATAATAAGAGTTAAGTTCCTTAACTCCACCACAAGTGCATTTTTCACAGGTACAAACTGGCCTGAAATTACTCAGTTCTTCCCACAAAGTTTTGAGTTTTGTAAAATGCACACTGACAGAGTTTTGGTTTTGGTTATGATTCACCAATTCCAGACTTAATTGAAAACTCCTAGGTCCATTACTCTGTTGAAATCGACCCTTAAGATCAATCCAGATTTCAAAAACAGACTCCAAAAAAATAATGCTAGCAGAGATATCTTTTGACACAGTTCAGAATCCAAGAAATCACCATATTTTTATTTCTAGTCCATGAACTACTGAGATTCAGATCAGTACCTTCTAGTTTGGTGATGGAACCATCGACAAACCCTAACTTGTTCTTCAGAGAAAAGGCAATCATCATGCCTCTACTCCAGGAGGCGTAGTTATCTCCTATCAGCAGCTGAGAAACAAGAACCAGGCCAGAACTGTCTGAATGATAGAGATAGTAAGGACTTTGTGGATCATGAATGGCGGATTTGCCCATTGACGTGACGGAACCACCTGATTTTGGAGTTTCCAGAAATCAAGATGAAAAGTGAAGATCAACAATCTACTTGGAAGGAATTGAAGAACCAAAGATTTGAGATGAATCAAGAAACGAATCAAAGAAGATCTAGCGATTGATGAAGAGATTAGGCAGCAAAAGATTGCTTTGATATCATATTACGAAAACTGTGAGAAAATGGAAGAGAGGAAAAACTGAGTTTTCTCATTTAATCTTTCTCAATACGCTGTACACACATATATATACTACAACGCTACAACCAACAAACTAACAGAATAATTACAGCTAAGAAAAGCTAAATGATAGCTGTACAAAAATAGCAAACTCTTAAAGGGCATCATCGTACGAAAACGCTGACGAGTTGCCTTTGTAGAGAAGAAGAAGAAACAAGTAGAGAAGATGACAAAGTGCAACGACATATAGAGACAGAGGAAGAGGAAAGAGGGGGAGAACAATATAGAGAGAGGTCGGCTGAGAGCAAGGATTGTCAGAGAGAGAAAGAGAGGGGCCGGTTATTAGAGATAGTGAGCTCGTGAAAAAAGACGACAAAAATGGGAAGAATACAATGAAAGGTAAAATTGGAAAAGAAAGAGCTAAAATTAAGAATAGCCTATTAACTTCAATTGATCAGTAAAATTTCCCTCTTTGTCTTAAGTGAAAGTAGAGCCAAGTTTAGGTCGGGTCAAACGTGTCAACTTAGGACCCGTTACTATTGGTTGAGGTTATTGGGCTGAACAAAATTAAGATTTTGAACCTAAAAGTTTATTAGGGTCGGGCTAGCTGGCCCAAACGCTCTTTGTTTTTATTTTAAAAGATTTTTTTGAAGATATCTTATAAAATTTTGAAAAGGATTGGGTCATCCTTCTCCTATGCTAGGCCAACTTGACCTGAAATTTCAATTCAGATCGCCACTCACCTCTATGTGAAAGTGTCAAGCTTACATAACATGTAAGCACAAATAAGTCTCATAAAAACAAAAGCCCAAATAAGACTATGTCCAAAGGATTTTACTACTACTATTATTATTATTATTATTATTATTATTAGGGAAATAGCAGAAAATAGGTCAATATAAAAAGCTTAAGAAAGTATATAGGTCAATTTTTAGTTATAGAAATTACTAGGTCATAACTTGTCAAGTTATAGTTCATAACCAGATAAATTATGGACAAACTTGTCAAGTTATGGTTCATAGCCAGACAAATTATGGACAATAACTTGTCAAGTTATGGTTCATAACCAGACAAGTTATAGACGAAAACAGTAATTTGGCTTATTTATTAATTCATGTAAACTATTGACCTATTAATTTTTATTCATCTCAAGTCATGGTCTATTTTCCTCTTTCTCTCTTATTATTATTATTATTATTATTAGGGCCAGGTTATAGTCTCCCAGTTGAGAAATGAATGGGCTGGTCTCCCACTAAATCTCAGCCCTTCATATTTTTAACTTTTGTTTTTTTTATTTCAACTCGTAACATGTAATGGTGGTGGTTTGATGAGGGTAGGGAGGGGCATTTACTCTTTTGGTGAAGGGCTATCGGTTGGCTAAGGGATATTAAAAAATAAATTTTTTTTTTTTTTTTTAAATTTTGTTGTCAAGTGACGAGTACGAAATCAGTAGGCTTTTTCTGGTGGTTTTGGGAACGAACAAAGTAACGGGAAGGCATTTTTTTCGTTATCTTCTCAATTGCCCATTTGCCCAGTTTCAAGTATTAAAGCGTTTTCCGGTAATAGGCCTGTTGACTCTCTTGCAAAATGGGCTTTACTGTGTAATTTCACTGGTTTTCTTTGTTGATCTTTAAATCCTAGTTCTATATTTTAAGAATTATCACATTAAATTATTAAAAAAATAGGTTAAAATAAATATATGTCTAGTCTTGAATCTTCAGTATAATTTTTTAAGACAACGAGCATGACGGTTATTGTCTCTCTCAGTCAAATCTCTTTAATTCCTTAATGAAGTGTTTTCTCTCTAGATGAGGAAAAATGAAAACTGTCGTATGATTTGACGTCTTGAGGACCATAACTTAAGTTTCTTTATATACTGTTCCATTAAACTTAATTAGGTCAATATGAGTATCTATCCATTTAATTCATACCTTATTAGGAGACTATTTGAACTTTTTATAATTAAATCACTCAATTAATTTAATTAATTAAATAACTTAATATAATTACTAAAATAAATATGTGACTTGAAACGCACGTTTCCTAACATTCTTTCCTCAGGGATGGAAGGCCCTGTTGTCTCTACCATTTTGCTCCGTGAGCTTTCTCAATAAAGTATTGTTTAATCAGAAAAAAGAAACAAAAAAAAAATTATCAACGCGTTTGAAACTTCATCCGATTCTTCGGTTCTTCCATTTTTCCATGTTCAGATTTTGTTTCACCACTTTCAATAACAATAGATTTCTGAGAATTGGAGCCAAAGCTAGAATCTTTCCCCCCAGAATTCTCGACATATATTCATGCTGAACTTGAATTTTATTTTCATCGTTCGAATCAAAAACAATGGGATCTGAAACTCTAAGAGGCTTTTCTTCAAACACTCTGAGCAAAACACTACACAACTTTATCCCCGGCTTAAACCAGAAAAACCGCATCTCTTAAAAAGAACATTAAGCTTATAAAGTCCTTCCAACACTTCTGAGAGGTTCAATCAAAACTAGGATGAAAACCCAGTCCGTTAAATTGGGTGAGAGGCCATGGCCGACATTCCTCCCTGCTCTGCAGTGTATAGAGTTTGTGATAACTATTCAAAAATAACGTCGCGTCCTTAAAATACAATTTCATCATACCATTACGACTCACCACACAGATATTATGTTTATCTTTGTCACTTTTACGATGGAAGAAACCAATGTTTAATAATCGATAAAACAACGTTACTATTTTACGCTCTCAAAAATTCAGAACATAGAAAACAATATTAAGACCTCCTTTAACTTTTGCTTGAGTTTTCAATTCAAGTTTAAACGTAATATTTTTTTAGAGTTTTTAATTATAATAAAAAAAATAAAATGTGATATTTTTTTAAAATTTTTAACTGTAATAGAAAAAATTAGATGTAATATTTTTTAAAAGTTTTTAATTGTAATAAAAAAAATAGATGTGATATTTTTTAAAAATAAAAAAATATTAAGGTCTCGTTTGCTTCGCTGATTTGAGTTTTCAATTTGAGCTTAGATGTAATATTGTTTGAGAGTTTCTAACTATAGAAGAAAAAGTTAGATGTGACGTTTTTTAAAAAAATTTTAACTGTAACAGAAAAAGTTAGATGCGATATTTTTTGAGAGTTTTTAACTCTAACATAAAAAGTTATGTCATATTTTTTAAAAACTTTTAGCTGTCAAAACTTATAACTGAAAAACTTAAATCAATAAAAAAATGAGATTTAAGGTCTCGTTCATTTCGCGGATTTGAGTTTTTAATTCGAGCTGAGATGTGATATTTTTTTAGAGCTTTTCACTGTAGCAGAAAAAGTTAGATGTGACATTTTTTGAGAGTTTTTTACTGTAAAAACCTAAAATTGAAAACTCAAATCGGTGAAATGAAATTATTCACTCATATCACGAAATTGTCCTCCACAAAAACTCCCAAAAACGTGGGGGTTCACAGAATTATTTTTATGTTTATTATTATTATGTTTTATTGACTCTGAGATTAGGTCATTGAGCTTCAGGTCCGAGTTATGTGAGAAAGCAGGATAATCCATAGTTACAGTGTGAAAGCAGGATAATCCACCCAACAACTCTATCCATTATTAAAAGGGAAAAACGTGGTTGATAAACGTTACCTATTATAAGAATTAAAAAAATAATGGGTAAGTTCAAAATTAATTTTAAACTAATTTTATTTTTAATAAAAAATAAAAATAAAATTATTTTGAGAATTATTCTGAAATCAATTTTAAAATTACGTTTGGTTGATTTTTTAAGAAATTATTTTGAATATAATAAAAAATAAAAAATTATATTGATTAATTAATATATTATAATATTATTAATAAGTACTAAAAATAAAAATTAAAAAGTAAAAATAATTTTTAATTATTTTTTAATTCATTTAAAAAATTATTTTCATTATTTTTGTTTTCATTTTTATTTAAAAATATTTATTAAACAAATATCATTTTATTTTCATTTTTATTTTTTATTTTTTGAAATATTTAAAAATTATTTTTAAAAACGATTCTAAATACGCACAATGTGTCTGAGTGATATTGATAAGGCCATGTATTTCTTTTATCATATTATATACTTTCTTTGAAATTTCTAGCCCCCATAAGCTATCACACCATTATTCAAAAGAAAACAAATATTATATTATAAATTTATAATAAATAAAGACAAACATTTCAACACATGTATGATTTTTGTCACGTGCCAGCTCAAACAGGATAAGCACCACCTGGTGGCATATTCCCACTTGGAGACCACCATCTAGTCAGCAACACGATGATATAATAACATAAATAATTTGAAAATTAATGAAAAATAATATTATACGAATATCCCATAACCTTATCCACTTCTTTACCTTATTATAGCCAAACAAACCGCGGCGCCCCACCGCTGCTAGCCAATCTTTCGTTGATTCCCAAAATTCTCTCTCTCTGTTTTTGTTCTTCTATGGCTTCTTCTTCTTCTTCTTCTTTTCAATTTCTTCTTCTTCTTGTTCAATGTCTTTTCTTCTTCTACAATGGCACACTTTCCAATGCCCAGATCACTCCAATTCTTCCCATCACCAAAGACGCTTCGACTCTCCAATACTTGACAAGCGTTGACCATGGAAATTCACTCCTGCCCACCAAGCTCGTACTCGATCTGGGTGGTCCATTCCTCTGGATGGACTGTGGTTCTCGTGATCTTTTCTCTCCCGGCCGTCTGATCTCACGTGGGTCGATTCGTTGCTTGGCCGCCAAGTCAAGTTCCCGTCGGAATTCAGATGACAAAAGCGATGTTTGCGCCATTTTCTCGGAAAACAGGATCGGGAAAGTGCGCGGTCGAGGGGATGTGGCGGAAGATATCCTGGCCGTTGATCTGGTGGACCCGTCAAAGGCGGAAGAAATCAGAACAGTCGGTAAGTACCTGCACAATAACTTCCTCTTTGCTTGCGCGGAAAAATCGCTCTTGAGTGGCTTAGCCAGTGGGGCCAAAGGAATTTTAGGCCTCGGAAGGGCTAGGATTTCACTTCCTTCACAGATTTCTTCCGGTCTTGATTCCAAATGGGAATTCACTCTGTGCTTATCGTCGTCAAACGGTGTCGTTTTGCATGAAAATGGTCGTTACATGAGTTCTTATTTTGGCTCCGAAATTTCTAACTCACTAGTCTACACGCCTCTAATATTATCTGGTGAAGGTGATTCACAAAACGACTACTTTATTAACTTGAAGTCAATCAGCATTGGAGGTAAAAGATTGTCGTTTGATGTGGAAAAGGCTAAGCTAAGCACAATTGTTCCTTATACCACTATGGAGAGTTCAATCTATGCCGTTTTTGTTAAAGCTTATGAAAGAGCTGCTTTGTCTATGAACATGACTAGAGTGGAATCCGTGGCACCTTTTGGGCTGTGTTTTGGGGTTGAAACGGTCCCGAAAACGCGGTTTGGGCCGGAAGTTCCTGATGTTGAATTGGGGTTGCAGAGTGAGTTGGTGAAGTGGAGGATCCATGGAAGGAACTTGATGGTGAAAGTGAGTGATGAAGTGGTATGTTTGGGGTTCTTAGATGGGGGCTTGGAGTTGGGGGCTTCTATTGTTTTGGGGGGATTTCAGTTGGAAGATGTGGTTCTTCACTTTGATGTGGGATCTTCTATGATGGGTTTTAGTCCTCTGCTGAAATGGAAGAGAAGTTGTTCTGACTTTGGATTTGGCGCCACACCCCTAGAGTCCTTGTGACAAGAAAAAGTCACAAGTGACTTGTTTGAATGAGAGTTTTTCTGGTGTGGCGTTCTCTTCTTTTTTTAAATATGGATGTCTTATTTTAGCATTAAATTTAGTTAAAATCACACTAAATTAAAAAATTATGTAGAACAGATAAATTCTTATATAAATTTGATGGTTGAAAAACAAAAAATGTCAGTATTCCTAAAAAAGAAGGAACAACGAAGAAAGTTCCTGTTTGTAATTTAAAGTACAAGGAGGCGTTTCTTAGGTGAAGATCAATGAGCTTTTTTTAGGAGTCATTTAAGTCTCAATTTTTTGTTTTGGGCTAGTTTGCCTGTTTTCTGTAAGGGTAATCAAAAGAAATGTTTGTAAACTATTTGATACAAACTACTTTCGGTAAATGTTTTGGGGGGTTTTTCCTTACTTGGATGTCCAATTGCTGCAGGCAGATAATTGGCTTAAAATTTGGTGCCATTTTGGCAGTAATAATTATATTGCTCTTTCCGTGGTATACTCTGAATTCTCTAATGTTAGAGATAGAACAAATAAAAAATAACCTCTGGTCCCCATTGAACCAATTCAAAAGAGAAACAGTGGCAGAACAGAAGTAAAAAAAAAAGTATTCTGATCATACTGAGTCTTAGAACGAAGTCATAACCTACAACATTGAAATCCGACGGCAACGTTATAGTGATCTCTTTGCAAAATTGCATCTTTCAGTTTGGTTTAATTATGCGCTGCAAGTTTTTAAGATGGAAATCTCTACTGCCAACTTCGTTAAGGCTAGAGATAGGAACGTGAGTTCTTATAAATTGCATGTAATAAAATTAAAATTTTTTCCTACCATCACTAATAAAATAAAAAACTTGAAAATAATGGCTTCAATTTAAGCCAATAGCTTTAGTGACTTGCCAAAAAACTTTATATGGGTGGAAGAATGAAAGCATTATCCCAAATTTAAAAGAATGATGACACACCAAATAATATGATGACCATATGATGAGCACGGATTAGTACTTTAGTGGATTCTTTATTTATGTGTAATTGGAATGGACATGAATCCTGGTGGGTCGAATTTAATGATTCAGAATGATGAATTTATCAAAATAAGTTGTTTATTTGGTGATAGAATTTAGAATTGGAGTCACAGGTTTTGTTCACTTCGCGGATTCGAGTTTTCAATTCGAGCTGAGATGTGGCATTTTCTGAAAGCTTTTTACTATAGTAGAAAAAGTTAGATGTGATATTTTCTGAGAGCTTTTTACTGTAAAAATCTAAAACTAAAAACTCGAATCGGTGAAATGAACGGTGCTAATCTCATTCATGCGTTTACTTACACGCAGAATCAGAATGAGAAAGTGGCAATTTTATATTTTTAATTTAAAAATAAATTATTGTACTTATTATATGAAAATTAATCATAATTAAAATATTTAGTGTAATAATAGGGTATTAAAATAATAAATATAAATTGTATAGTTATTTAAAATATAAAAATCAATTGTTAAAAAATTTAAATAAAATAAATAAAAATAAAAAATAGTGTTAAAAATTAAAATATATTATTAATTTACTAAACAAATAAAGTAAATATTTATTTTATTAAAGTTAATAATAATTAGGCTGATATTATAATATTAGGCAAATAAAATAATAAATGTATGTTGTAATTATTATTTTTTGAATTTTATTTTGAATTTTATATTTATAAGTAAAATAAAAGTATAATAGTAATTTAATATTAATATTAAGAATAAGAGTCTCAATCTCAAGGGGCGCATGAGAGTGCTAATCCTATTCTTTAATTTTAAATTTGAGTGAGGTCTACTAATCTTACTTTCATTTCAAGATAAAAGAAACAAATAAATATGAGATTGACTCACATTCTCTACTTCTATTCCTCAATTCTAATAAATAAAAATAAAAAAATAAATAAACATGATATTAACTCTTATTCTTCATTCTCATTCTCCAATCTTAATAAGTAAACCTGCCATAGAAATAAAGAACAATCCCTAGCAAAATGAAAGCTTTTTATTTTTCGAACCAGAACAAAAGCAGAGCAAATAAGAAACAGTAAAGAATGAGGCAAAAAGTTTTGTCAGAAGAACTGATGGTCAAGATTAAGGCCTTGTTCACTTCGCGGATTCGAGTTTTTAATTCGAGCTGAGATGTGACATTTTCTGAGAGTTTTTTACTGTAGAAACCTAAAACTGAAAACTCGATTAAATAAATGTAATAGTAAATCTTACCCCAACGCCTATTATTAGAGGCTACACATACATTTGTACGCTTTCGTTGATTTGAGAATTAATGGGAATTACACTTATGAGGTTTTTTTTTTAATTCTTGAGTACAATTGAGAAATGATTTTCAGCTCCGCATAAGAGTAACTCCGTACAACTCCGTCCACGTGGCAAGATATGGTTGGACGTGTATGGATAAGAATTAATGAGAATTAAACTTCTTTCCTTTTTATTTTCTCTTCCAGACGCAAAGATTTGTTTGAACAAAAAGAATATATACAGTGGGCTTTCATTTTTTTTCCCTTATTATTATTATTATTTTTTTTAAAAAAATCCCTAATAATCATTATACGTAACAATTAGACCCAGCTTAACACTAGAATACATATATAATTTTGGTAAGATGATCAAGAAAACAACTTTGCTGACTTGAACAAAATCAGGGTCATGTAATTAGATATATAAATATATAATGTATTATGGGGGTGATCTTGATCATGTTCATGAGGAGTTTTTCAAGCAGTAGTAGTAATACATTTTAAAAATAAGGGATTAAAGTGAGGCTGACAACGAAATTTAGAAACTTTTTTAGGATTAAGCCTTTACTATTTGAGAAAATCGTGAGAAATCAAATTAAATATACTAATCATCTTTAAAAGGCACATTAAATAATAAATCAGAGCTGGATGATGCTATTGAATGTATTTTATGAGCAACTGCATGATTATTGATTTCTAATTGGTCAGGAACTTTTCTCGAAGGGAAACCAAATCACATGGCGCCCATGATATTGCGTTAAATTGGTGTATGAAATGATCCAAAAACGTGCCCAGATTCCTGTTTCCAAAGAGATAAGGCGGCAAGTCTTTGAATGAAATATTTAAGTAGTGTGAACAATATTGTATATATGTAAAGAAATTCCTTATGTGTGTGTGTGTATATATATATATGTAATGCTAACGGGATAGTTAGAATTTGCTCCATGTGAAATAAACTTAATTTGATTATACTAGGCTTTACTCAATTGTAATTATAAATGTGATAGAAATTCCTTGATTGTTTGGTTAACTTTTTATTATTATTTAACTTATTCAATGAAAAGATACACCATTATTAGTGTGTATATATATATATATATATGTATGTATATCGTTCTATCCTAGTGTTTCTATTTACAAACACAAATGATATGGACACTCGGAGACTGAAACTAAAACTACTTGTTCTCTTGCATGACGCGACTTATGTATTGAGAAGGGCTAAGAAGCTGCAATTCTTTTACTTTGACCATTAAAAAAAAAAAAAACTCTGCAACGCGGTAATAATATGGAAATTTTAATGTGTCCATCATGTTATAAAGATCTTATCCAATAATTGATTATACTTAAATTGTGCTGTAAGAAACCAGCTATAGATTATGTGTAAATTAATAAACTAACTAGCTAGGTGAAAAATCTTCAGTAGTAATTACGTGTAATTAATTGAGAGCTTACAAATGAACATCGTAGAGTCAACACTTTTTTTTTATTCATAAATATACTTAGAATATTGATGTAGGAAGATTTAATTAAAAGTAGTCATTTTTATATTTTAGCCATGTTATTTATTTATTTATTTGTGGTTATTCATTTAGTATGTCGTTTGTCTTAGTGAGTATTTTTTTTTTTTTTTTTGTTTGAGCTATAAATAGCTACATTACTAAGTTTAATAGAGAGACTTAAATATTTTGATAATTTAATTAGCGTTGGGTTTTCTCTCTCGTTTTAAGAGATTTTCTCTTTGTGAATTTTAGACTTTTAAATCTCTGTCTTCCATTCGGATTAAGCCGATAAAATCATCCGGATATGGAGGATGGAATATCGATACCATAATTTATTATTATTGACAAAAAATAAGGATAATACTATTTATATGTGTATATTATGTAGTATTGGTTATTTTTCCAGATCGAAAAGCACTAGCAGTCTCTTGTTTAGTCATGAGTGCACGAGAATCACGTTGTTGCCCATATATGTTTTGGGACAAAAAAATCTTGTTGTGATGTGGCGAGTGGATTAAATAATAGTGGCTGACAAGTATTAATAATTGGGGAGCCAAAGTCAATCTGTACCCGTGTTTCCAGACTGAGAATATTTAGGACTTGTTCTTTTGAGTGAAAAATTTAAAAAAAGATAACTCGAGTTACAACTTTATTTGAGTTCATGTTCTTTTAAGTTTAAACTCAAGTTTAAATTCGAGTTTAAACTTGAGTTTAGAACTAAAATTCAAGTTCAAGTTTCCTATTCAACTCGAGTTCAAAAACTCGAACTCAAATTAATGAATAATATTTTTTCTATTCTTAAAAATACTATATAACTTTTTCGTTTTAATTCTAATTGAGATGATTTTTTTTCTATGCGTTGATAACGAAAAGACAAATAAAACCCGACCCATATACCCTATTAAAATTTTTCATTAGCATTGAGTTTTTATTAAAATACTATTTAATACAAATTCAAGTTTTGACTCACTTAAACACAAACTTAAAAAGATTCTTATCTCAAACCATAACTCAAATGTACACAATCAAACACAAACTCATGTTACAAGTTCAACTCAAGTTATAACTCAAATTCAACTCAAGAATTATACTCAAGTTAAACTCCAAAAGAACAAGCCCTTAATCTTCATTATGCATTAACAAAGCAAAGCTTGTGAGATTACGATCAAAAGTTTAACCAACTTCTCTAATCGAAAAAAGAATATAATAATCAAGATCATTTCCGCTACTTTTGTTGAATTATTAGATAAAATATAGATGATCTGGTTTCAACTTTCAATTAAACAATGAAGTTGCAGACAAGCAACACCAATAATCAGTAACGATATGTGCAGTAATCATCACTTTCACATGCGTTTTTTTACTATTATTTTTAGATTGGCAACGTGCATTTAATTAAGTCACATATTTTCAGGATTATTGTTTATTTCGATTATTCGGCTATATAATTTCACGAAGTCATTTCGAACTTAATTATTGTTTATTGGCAGTTCTAAATGGTTTACATTGACATTAAAATAAAACATGAATGTATGATTTTTTTTTTTCCAATACATGATAAGATTTTCCCCTTATCCAAGTTATGACTTAAAAACATGAATAAATGATTGTTTTCTATGAATTAATACGTTTTCCCCCTCTAGATCTGATCTCTTCCAAGAACTTTCTCAATTTCAGGATTATTTATTGGATAGAACTCAAACTTAGACCAGGTAACATGTGAAATACAACGACATTATTCACAAAAGATAAGTATAATAATTGAAATTCAAAGTCAAAAGAATATTAATTCTTGCCATATCTTTCACTTGGCCAACAACTCAATAATGTGAACACAACTACCATAAAATTCTATCGGCGCTTCATCCAAATCCATTCTTCTCCTCTCAATTTGCAATAACGCAATGGCTTCTTCTTCTTTCCATTTCCTTCTCTTCATCTTCGGCTCTCTTTTCTTCTCCCACTCCTTAGCCAAAACGACATCGTTCCGACCCAAAGCCCTAGTCCTCCCAATAACAAAAGATACTTCCGCAAACCATATCCAATACCTCACCAAAATCTACCAAAGAACCCCTCTAGTCCCCGTCAAGCTCACCGTCGACCTCGGCGGCGACTCCCTCTGGCTCGATTGTGATAAAGGCTACGTATCGTCCTCCTACAAGCCCGCCTATTGTGGCTCCGCCCCGTGCTCCCTCGCTAAAGCGCCATGCAACATGGGCATGTGCCCTTCCGACCCCAAGCCCGGGTGCTACAATAACACTTGCACTCTCAACGCCGACAACAACGTCGTGGACCTCGGCACGCCAGGCCTGGTCGGAAGCGATGTCGTTTCTGTCCCTTCCACGGACGGAGCCAATCGCGGAAGGGTCGTTTCGGTAACGAAATTCATCTTCACATGCGCGCCTGCCTTCATCACCATTGGCCTCCCTAACGGCGTCAAGGGCATCGCCGGACTTGGAAGGACTAAAATCAGCCTTCCTTCGCAATTCGCCGCCGCGTTTAGCTTCAGGCGGAAGTTCGCCGTTTGCTTGAGCTCTTCAACGAAATCTAACGGCGTTTTGTTCTTCGGTGACGGCCCTTATAACTTCCTCCCCAAAATAGACGTCTCTAACTCTCTGATTTACACACCGCTCTTAATCAACCCCAAGAAACTTCCCGGTATTGACATCAAACAAGAGCCTTCACCGGAGTATTTCATCGGAGTAAAGTCGATTAAGATCAACGACAAATCCGTCCCGTTGAATACTTCTCTGCTACGTATCGACAGATTAGGTCGTGGTGGAACGGCAATCAGCACCGTTGATGCCTACACAATCATGGAGACATCGATCTACAATGCTGTGGTTAATGCATTCGTCAAAGAGCTCGGTAATCACGTGCGTAGGGCGGCTCCGGTGGAGCCTTTTCGGGCGTGCTTTAGCTCGAAAAACATCGGGAGTACGCGGGTGGGGCCCGCGGTCCCAACCATCGACCTTGTGTTGCAGAACAAGAAGGTGTATTGGAGAATTTTTGGTGCCAATTCCATGGTTAAGGTCAGCGATGACGTTTTGTGTCTCGGATTAATTGACAGCCGCGACGTGGTGGGGATGAGGCATTCTATAGCTATTGGAGCCTATCAATTGGAAGACCATCTTCTACAGTTTGATTTAGCTACTTCACGACTTGGGTTCAGCTCGTCGTTGTTGTTCAGACAAACAACTTGCTCTAACTTCAATTTCACTTCTAATGCTTGACAGCTTTGTTTCAATTAAAATATGAGAAAATGAGGTCACAATTATTCTCTTGAAAATCATGCTGTAGAATAAGTTATAAAGTGATTAATATATGGCCATGTTTGCTTTCCGTCAATAGCATAAATAAATAGTCTTCTTGATTTTATGGCTCAAGTCATATTGTTACAATGTTTTTTCTTATAGAAATTCAAATTTAACCTTTTTACTATAGGATTTTTTTTCTCACATGCACAACTAAAATCATGACTTGAGTGTTGCAAATGAACACACCAATAGATTCAGTTTAATAGTACTTCACCATGCATGGAGAGTCATTTTTAAAAAAAAATTAGTTCTAGTATGTGCGATGCACATACTTAGTTGTAATTGAAGTTTTTATAACGTAAAATACAACAACAATAAATAAGAAAAAATAGAAGAATATTTTTACATATGGAGATTAAAAAAGAATATATATTAAGTGGTAGTATGCTTGTCGTAACGAAGATTGCACACCTAACTCCACGACAAAATGTAGAGTTTGAATCCCCCATACATAATCTTTTCTTTTATTAAAGAAGTATACGTTAATAGTATTTTAAGTGAACATTTTATGTTTAATTATAAAAATACATGAAACATTCTTAATTATAAGATACCAAACTAAACAGTAAATAAATAAAGGAGTTGAAATTTAAAAATAAAAAGAAAAAGAGTAAAACACATGAAAACTTATCGTTCTGAAAACCACGGTAAGATGAGCATAAATTGTAAAATAATAAAAGAAAAATAAAGGTGTTAAAACTTAAAAATGAAAGAAAAATAAAACACCTAAAACTCACTGTTTAGAACTACGATATGATGAAAAACAACCAAATATCTACTTTTTACTTTACTTAGCATTAGGATTAGGATTCAACACGTATGGAAAACAAAATAAAGAAATAAAAAGTAAAAAAACAAAACACTTGGAAGAGATAGAGGGAAAAAATAATTAAAATAGCGCGTAAACGACTACAAAAAATGAACAGTACAGTTTTCACCCACTCTTTTTATATTTAGCATTTACTATTTGAATAAATAGGATTTAGCATTAAGATTATGATAAAAAGTGAAAAAACGTAACATAGATTATTTACTAACAAATTAAAAAAAAGGTTGAAAGAAGTAAAGAACCAAAACCAATTCCAAAGGGAAAACAATAGTCAAAACGACTCATTTTAGATTATTAAAAAAGGAATAGTAGAGCCATGACGGCTCTTTTATATGTGCAGAATAATAGTGGTCCAGAAGGCGGCAATAAAAGAAAATGGGTAGGGAGATATTTTTAAAATTTTATTTTAATGGGATAAATAGACAATTAGAAAGAAATTTGTGAGAATAACTTTTAATACAGAATATATTAGAGCACCATCGGAAAGAAATATAAAAACAGGATAACTTTTAGATAAAAAATTATTTGGGGTGAATAAAAGAAAAAGGTTAAAAAAAGGTAAGTACGAGAAATATTAAATTTTAGAGAAGAAAAGAAAAAGAAAAATGAGAACATAAAAAGCCAAAAAAAAAAAAAATGAACGCTGAAACTGTGTTGAAAGAAATTTGTGAGAACAACATTTAACATATAGTATATTATAGCACTACTAAAAAGAAATATTTAATTAAGATAACCTTTAAAAAAATTAATTGAAGTAAATGAAAGAAAAAAGTTAAAAAAATGTAAAGTATGAATAATATAAAATTTTGAGAAAGGAAAAAAAAAAAGAACACAAAAAGGCAAGAAAAAAAAAAAAGAAATGCTAAAGGGGTGCGTTTTGAAAGACCAAAACCCCACAGTGCTTGGCACTTTTACAATTTTATATAGTAGTGATAAATAAATAAAGAAATCGATCTTTCGCTAAAAACTAAAGATCGTACTGCGCATAAATAAAGATAGTATTAGAGAGAAAACCTATGGGATACCCTTTAAAGAGTGGATCTTTGGGGTTTTGACCCTTCGTTATTTGAGTCAAAACAACAAAATTCTCACTTTATTTTAATTATTTACTATCGGAAGAAAAAATGTTAATCTTTATCAACCACTTTACTCTTATCTATTTATCCCTTATCATTGAAAACTGAAATTTATTATGTTTTATAGATCCTTAATTCCTTTTGAAAGATCAAAGTTAGGAGATCGTGGACTTTTAATATTAAAGAGAGTTTGAAAAACATATTTAATATATTCTAACTCAAAGAGAGGAATATTATTGGGGCCAACTACTTTGAAGTAAGATGTTAATCAATCGTTCATTTCACATATTCGAGTTTTCAATTCTAGTTTTACAACAGATAAAAGCTTTCAAGAAAAATCACATCTAATTTTTCTGATACAGTTAAAAGCTCTCACATAAAGTTACATCTCAACTTAAATTGAAAACTCGAATCGATAAACTGAACGTATTTTTGTCCAAAGGGACATACGATCGCGATCCTCTGTATTTACTAACTCTAAAAAAAAACGATTGGAGATACTTAAACTTGATATATATCTTTGAGCCTTCGTTGTGCATATATAATTATAGAAAACATATATATGTTTCGACATGATATTTTTAAAGGAAAATTTCATTTATACTAATTAAAGTAGTACAATGTGAATGACCGTACAAAGCATAATACTCAACTGAGATCAGTATTATTGGTACAACCTTATTATGGTTAATGGGTAAAATGTATGTCAAAGACTCAAAAACGGGAAGTACCTCGACACATTAAGAATGAGCTCACATAAGGTTATTTTTTATCATAATTCTACAATCGATAGAAGCTTTCGGTTGATTAAGAGCCATGACTATATAGCACAAAGACCACTACATAACCTCCATATTAGATAACGAAACAAAGACCGAGAAGGTAAGGAGACCACCACCGTTATTACAACGGAAAGAGAGTAAATAACGAAAACACACTAAATCTAAATGATGAAAATATCATCATTTTTATTTGACAAACACAGAACTTAAAACAAATGGGTAAAATCCAAATGACAACGATGAAAACTCAGGTGACAAGTCGACTACTGTTGAGAATGAGCGAGGAAGACGTAATAATGCTAGTGAAACAAAGAAGATGCAGAAAGAAAGTATGACTCGACATGAGAGAATCACAAGTCGCCACCCACCTCCGCTGACTAGGGAGGATGCCACCTTCAAGGATCCACCACCACCCTAAAGAAATCAAAGTTCCCAAAGAGAAAAGAACTCCAAGCATGGACACGCCGCCAGCCCACAGAGAGAGACGTCGCTTCTTCACCATCTCTGCCGAACAAACAACAAAGCCGCTTGAGCTTCTGGGATGCCGGCTCCTGAATAAGCCCAGAAATAGTAGGCAAGGACGCATCGGAACCCCCCCCCCCCCCCCCCGCTTTTTTTTTCCCCCCAACAAAGCGA